GGGAATTAGAAATGAAAATTTAATTATGTGTATGCATACCTTTGTCCGCATATTTTATATACATATAAATTTCTAAGTACATAGAAACTGTACTTTGATTTTGATGTTGGAGGTACTTACATGGAATTTTAACCATTTTAATATTTCCAATCGGTATTGTGGATGAATTGCACAATTTTTGGTAAAATTTATTCATTGCTAATTCTATCTTTTGATTATTCTCATCATTATGAATTATTATTATTATTATTATTTATTAGTTAGTAGTAGTAGTAGTAGTAGTAGTAGCAGTATCTTTATTATTATTGTTATTGTTAATATGATTGTTGAAATCAATTTTATTAACATTATTATTGTTATTGTTTTTAATTTGTTATTATTATTGTTTTTGATTTGTTATTATTATTGTTATTGTTATTATTATATTGTTTTGTTATTGTTATTGTTATTGTTATTGTTATTGTTATTATTGTTGTTTTTTTATTATTATTTTTTATTATTATTATTATTATTATTATTATTATTATTACAGTAATGATCACTATAATGATAATGATGATGATTGATAATAATAATATTATTATTATTATTATTTGAATTATTACTATTTCATTTTTTATTAATTTATTTTTTATTATGGTTATTATTGTTATTTTTCATTGTCATTGTTGTGTGTATGTCATTCTTTGATATATATTACCCCGTCTTTACATCAAAATGATGCGTCCTCAGTTCCGTAGACACTTGGAGTGTTAGAATAGGAGCAACATGTAGGCATAATGTGCAAACAATTAGATGTATGAAACACAAGCAAATTTTTTGATATAGATTATTGTTTATATAGGTTAATATTGTTATTATATTTATCTTCATTATTATTGGTATGATGATAATGTTGAATATGATGTTTTTTTCTTCTTTTTTGTGTTATTATTGTTATTGTTGTTATTATTATTATTATTATTATTATTATTATTATTATTATTATTATCTTTGTTGTTGTTGTTGTTATTATTGTTGTTATTATTATTATTGTTGTTGTTGTTATTATTATTGTTATTGTTATTACTATTATTATTATCATTATTATTATTATTACTATTACTATTATTACTATTATCATCAGTAGTGGTAGTAGTTGTAGTATTATTGGTATTATGATATCATCATCATCACTGTTGAGATTATTACTTTTCCTGTTATTATTACTATTGTTATTTTTGTCATTATTATAATTCATATTGCATATCTTTTGGATATGGAAATAGTTATTGCTTTTAGTGTAACTGATATTGGTCAAGAAAAGCAAATTCATGCCATCATTTGACAACATGCCTTTGCAGATTATTTAGATTTCTTTTGCAGAAAATAATAGTAGTAGTAGTAGTAGTAGTCATGTCAGTATTATTATATTTGATGAAAATATCAGTAAGATTATTTTGTTTTAGGAACAGCATTCAACTACAGTATATAGATATCTTGAAAAATAAGTCAAGAATTGTTATTCTTATCATTACTGCTACTTTTGCTTTTTGTGTTATAACTACTACAACTGTGATACTGATGTTACTTCTAGTCTACTGTTGCTGCTAATGCTATTGTAGTATTATGATGATATTACCATATCTACTACTACTACTACTACTGCTGCTACTATTGATATAGCTTTTAGCTTGAGATCAGGGTCGTGCACAGTGGTTGGGGTGACCTTCACATTAAAAGTGCCTTTGCAGGCAAAGTTTGGGAATGAAAAGTGCCCTTTAGTCAGGGCAGGTTGCATTTTTTCTACTGGACCTCTGCCCTTGAAGTTTATGCACATCACTTCTTGAGAATTAAAGTGGTGATGATTTATCTTCACTATTGGCTACTCCTATTACTATTACTACTACTACTCCTAATGTTGCTATTGTAATATTACTAGTATTACCCCTCCTCCTACTGCTATTATGTTTATTGCTGCTGTTGCTTAGGTCATACCAGTGCAGTGCTAATAGTTTTGAATATGATATTTTTACCATCTTCATTTTCATTATCATTCATTATCAGATTTTATCAGGTAAGGATCTCATTGTTCTGAAGAAAATTGTACTTTATCATTATCTCGGCATATCTTGAAAGAAAAGAGTGAAGACAGTCTTTGATTTCTTTTTGAATTTGTTCATAAACATATTTATTTATAAAACTGGAAAATATGTTTTTTTGAATAACATTTTATCGGAGATTTTGGCTTTGGTACTTATCTAGTGTGTTTGTTTTGATGTTTATTTACGTACATATGTATTTTTTTATTCATATATTTATCTATAGTTATATACTTCTTTGTATCCTCTTCCCATGACCGTCAACCAACCAAGCTAATGATAGTTTCTTGAAATGTTGCCATGTGCATTTGCAGACTTCAACAACTTCCAGCCCAAACATGAAGTCTGGTCGGTCTTCCTTCAGTGGATCAGTCGGGAGACCGGCCTGGGTCGAGAAAGAGCTTGCTGGGCGTATCAAG